GAACACATTCTTGTCTGACCTTGTCCTAGACACTAGAAAGTCAGATGCCTGCCTCGTGACAAGGAACCAATCAGAAGTTAGCTGGTGGCGCTATGCTTTACGACCCTGGGTGTACTTTACGGACAAGCACACAGCAATGACGCACAGAGCATAGCAACCACCCTGGGAGGGCCTATGGGCCATAACAACCAGTTGGTCAATCAACACAGGGCAAGCCCTCCAAGCCCGGAGGCACATCAATCCTGAGCCTGTGCGTACCCCTAGACACTCCCCTTACGCTGCCCTACAAGATTTCTCTCTGCAGCGGTTCGAGCTGTCTTTTTCGAGCCATCCGCCATAGCTGGTGGGTGAAAGACCCGAGCTAACATGGGGTTAGCTCATTAAAAAAAACAATAAAGCCTCCTGCAGTTTGCAGCAAGCTCTCGACTCCGCCTGGTGATTGGGGTGACCGCGGTCGTGGCCTGGGACCCCGGATACCTGAGTTTTCCGTGGGTCTAACAGCACATTTAACAACTCTCTGACATGCATAATCTCTCAGAGCCAGAAAGGTGGATAGGATCTGGAGAAAAGCTAGTGCTTCACATCCCCCCCACCCCACCCCGTGTGACTTGCAAAACCTAAGTCCTGGCAAACCTAAGTCTCAGGGGGGAGATGACTTGCAACTGGAGCTGTAAACTTATTAAAAGTGACTTCTCAACACTATATCAAAGGGAAAAACTAAGACTATGTAATGTGAAATCCTGAGGCTGCTGCTCTTACTGCTGACCCGGTGAGAAGGAATTCCTTTCTCTGGAGCTTATTTGAGAATACAAAGCACCCAGTATATATTCTATACACAGCCAAATCCGTAGTAACCAATATTCTGGAGTTAATACCTAGAATATTAATTGCTACTTCTGTAATAAATGGTAAAGGCTTGCAGCACACTACAATCACTGTCCAAGTCAAGACTTGTCTTTGCCTTATTAGCAATAGGTATATCCACATGTAAGTAGGTGCATACATAAAATGCACCTTGAGCCAGAGAGTAAGGTATTCACATCTAGTCATACTTCATATAACATGTAACTACACTGCTCACAAACTCTACACACACAACATGCATATGTATGACACACAGTGAAATAACAATTTATTTGTGGAAGGAATGATCATTCAGTTTGGACAGGCATAAAGATGATAACATCAGGAAAAAAAAAAAAAGAAAGAAGACCCTGGATGAGCCAAGAGAAGATGCTGCGTGGTTTGGCTGTCCAATGACCTCCCACAGGCTCCTGTGTTGAAGGCTTACTTGGGTCATGAAGGCTGTAACTTACTTTGGCAGGGGATTGATGAGTTCATAGCTGAGTGGGTCTGAGTGGCTCCTGTTGGAGGAGGAGATAGGCCACTGGAGCCACAATGGTCACATCTTGTCCCCACACCCTTCGCCCTCCTTCTCTTTCCACTTCTCAGTCTCTACGGAGTGAACATCTCTGCTCTTCCACCTTCCCCACCAAGCTCTGCCTCACTCTTCCACAAGGACAGCAGAGCCAGCCAGCCGCAGACTGAAAGCCCTGAGAGGAGGAGGCGAATAAATCCTCCTGAACGGGTTCTCTCAGATACTTTGTCCCACCAAGAGAAGCTGTGTGAGCCGAGTCATAAAAAATGTCAATGAAAGGGAGGAATGTTATTTTAGGCAGGGAAGAGCATAAGCATGGTCATAATATCGAGAATCAACATGCTTGGGAAACACTGACATGTAATTGCAATGGAAGCAGAGGCTGACAGTTGGGAACTAACGGCTCTCCCAGACCTGGCCAGCTGGTGAGCTAGGCGAAGATGGGCTCCAAAACCTTCATGTCCTCTATGCTGTCGACATAGCCATCTGCGTTACAGTGGAACTGAACATAGTTGTAGCTCCTTTTCTCTATGTATTTACCTTTGAAATTCTCCCGATGGCACTCGAGTACCTTAATGGGAGTCTGAGCCCAAACATATGAATTTCTGTAGCGATCTTTCCAGTTGCCACTAATGCATATGTGCTCAACTTTGTACCATGCCATATAAACAAACGAGTGTGAGATCTTGGGTTTCAGACCTTTCTCTGTCATGAGCACATCACAGCTGTAGCCACTGAATTCTTTGTGTGGGCTTAGGTGATGGTATTCCATGAACTCTCGCCTGGAAGTACTCTGTGCAAGCGAGCTGTACTGCAGGCACAGCAGGAACACAAGCAGACCCCAGGCCTTTAGAGAGGGCTCCATAGCAGCCACCAGGGCCACCTAAGTGGGCACGGGAAAGAAAGGAGAAAATATTGACATACTAATCTATAGGCTGAGCTCTACACACTTTAAATTTCTTTGTTCTTCTTTTGATTTTTCAAGACAGGGTTTCTCTGTGTGACATTGTAGACCAGGCTGGCCTCAAACTCACAGAGATCCCCTTACCTCTGTCTCACGAGTGCTGGGATTAAAGACATGCACCACCACTGCCTGGCTCTATTTCTATTCCTGCATAATTTTGTTTCCCAGAGATATCCCTCATTAGATAGTAAAATTAATTGCAAATTTAAAAAAGTATGGACTGAGTGAACCAAGAATAAAAATTGCACAAAGAAGATGGAATGTATTTTGAAACCTCGAAGTTCCTCTTATATGCCCTCACTTCTATGCAATGGAAGGAACCCATCACTCTCTCTCCAGCTCTAGCTAACCCTTCAGAAGCTCATGTGTCCAAAAGACTTGTCTTCAGGGTCGAAAGACTAATCCCCGTCGAGGGGAACAGAGGGAGTAACTGCTTGGGAGATATTGCCAAACAGGCAGGCTTCAGGTCCCTGAAGTTACAACCCAGGTTGCATGTCATGCTGATTGCACCATGATGCCTCTCCTGTCTTGACCCCCTTACAGCATTTCCCCAAAACCTAGTGAGAAGGCAACACCATTTCTAAACTGGAATCTTTTCTCAGGAGCCATATCCCTGCGTTCATTCCAAACCACCACGATTTACCAGAGCTACTTGTTGAGCACGTCTACGGGAACAGAAGGTCTGAAATGATGTTTCAATTCACCAAATGCCAAGACTAAAACCAGCTTTGCAGGAGTGACCCTGGATGGAAGACAGAGACCAGTGTGTGGAAAGACTTCCCCTTAAACAGAGTCGGCCCTCATTTACACGAGTGTAATGGCCCTATTGTGTCTTTCATCTTATCCACAGGCCCTGACCTCATATGGGCGTGATAGACATTTGGGAGCCAACAAAAAACACTTTGGTGGGCTGTATGAGGGTGGGAGCCACAGCTGTGGGGTAATACTGAGCTGAATTTGAGGTCTTGTTTTCATCCTTAATCCTAAAATATCAACCAGTCTCTCTCCTATGTTCCTGGCCTTTCAATCAAGTTTCCTAGACACCAACCCTTCTAACTCACCTAGTCAGTGCCCGAGTCTCTGGTTGCCGAGGGTACAGAGATATGGGGATCTGAAGAGCAGTCTTTGTACTTTCTGGAACGACCAGCAGTCCACAAGTAGAAAGGAGAATAACAAGAGAGTATAGCACTCTGGGTTTGTGGGGGTGGTGGCTCAGAGGGCAGGGACAGGAACATCTCTTTATGTGAGCCTGTTCCTGTATCTTCTCAAGTGGAACACTTAGGTTCACCCTGAGAATAGCCTTAAGCAAGGTCTGCAAACATCAAAGAAGGGTGTCCAGGCACAAAGGAATTTCAAAGCGTTGTTTGGAGAGGTGGCCCCATGGAGGGGTTGTAGGTAGACAACCAGAAATGCGGTGGCCCTGAAACTTGTTTCCCGACAAGCTTTCTGGGGAAAGTCCATGAATGGCTGGGCCATATTCTATAGGGAGTTTGGCAAGAATGTGAACTGTGGCAATGTCACCAAGAAGTGAGTGGACATACATAGTCAAAAGTACAACGGTAGATAAGTGGTGTGGAGATAATGGGGTGTGCTTTCTATCAGTGACGCAAGGGCTGCTGGTGGTTCAGCTGCTCTGGTGGAGTTTCTTCCCAGTTTGCCTTGGCATGAGAATGTCTGCTTGCATCTATTTATATTCAGAATTTCCAAGCCCAGGTGTGGTAGTGTTGTGTTGGTAACCTTACCAGGTAGGAAGCCGAAGCAGGAGGCCCAGTTGTTTCAGGACAGCCTGTGCAACAACCCTGTCACAAGAATAAGCAAATCCACCAACTCGGATCTGCAGATGCCAGCTCATGTCAAACATCGCTGGATTAACTGGGAACCCTGCACTGACGGGCTGGGGCGGGGAATTGGCTCCAACTGTATTCTGCACATCCTCCTATTCTCTAGCTATTCGAGAGACAGGGAGAGAATACCCAGGGAGAAACTGGGAGCACCTGAGTTTGGATAACTTAGAGATAAATCTGTGGAAAAATAAAATGGCAATCATATGCACGGATGTCTGAAGCCCTTTCTAACAAGTTTACACAAGCTACTGAAGATATAAATGCAAGTAGTGACTTGATGGATATAGAGAAAAGGGAAGGACCTGCTGAGAGGTGACAAAAGAAAGGAAGGAAGGGAGAGGAGAAGGGAGTAAGGGAGGGGAGAAGGGAGGGAGGGAGGGAGGGAGGAAATAGAAAAATAAAAAAGTAGTTTAGCCTTTAGGAAGTAAAAATTTATTAAGCAAAGCTCTTGGCTTACATGATGAGGTCACTTCATGGATGGCTATTTTGCTAGCGAGTGCCAGAAACTGATTATTTTAGTTATTGATATGTTGAAGTGCCCAGGAGTGGGGTTTGTTTGTGTGATGATGGTA